TATGTGTCATGGTAGTTAATACTTCAGGAGGATGATTATTCAGTTCATGATTGGGTATTTGATATTTGTTCCAGCGTATGACAAGCATTTGGGCAATGGACGTTCAGGCTCGTGCCGATAGATTTGCAAGGTGGGGTATTTATGAACTTAGTAGAGTTCTCTCTTATGTGTTGCATAGTCATCCTTGTTTGAGTGCATTAAGACTTGTCAGTATGATGGTCTCCATTTGCTTGTCCTTAGCGACATGGTTTTGCGAGGCGGTGCTAAGGAAGTGGTCCTTAGTGATGACGGTGTGTTACGAAGTCAGGGTCAAATTTGTGTGTCCAATGTTAATGGTTCGAGGGAGATGATCCTTGAGAACTCTTTGGGTTTGTGGTGTTCTATTCATCCGAGTGCTACAGAGATGGATTGAAATTTAAGGTAGCATTATTAATGGCGGAGGATGATGTAACGACTCGGCCGGTCATTTTGAGTGTTGTAGCCACATTCCCCTATTTACTGCTCATTTTATTCTTAATTGTTGTTACGTGATTTGTCGGGGTGGTTGGTTCGGTTCCGAGGATGTTTCAGAATGAGATAAGACACTTAGTCTCAAGGTTGGGAGCTTAAGTTGAAAAGGTTGACCAGATGTTGACTTATGTGTAAATGACTACGGAATGGAGTTGATGGTCCCCATAGCTCCGTTGGGTGATTTTGGACTTAGGAGTGCGTCTAGATAGTGATTTGGAGTCCGTAGTTGATTTAGTCTTGAAATGGTGAAATTTAGAAAATTAGAAGCTTTAGAAATTGAGAAGTTTGAGTGAGAGTTGACTTGCTGGTTACCGGGCTCAGATTGTGGTTCCGGGAGTTAGAGTAGGTCTGTTGTGTCATTTATGACTTGGGTGCAAAATTTGAGATTAATCAGACTTGATTTGATAGGTTTCGGTATCGATTTTAGAAGTTGGAATTCCTTCATTTTCATTAGGCTTGGATTGAGGTGCGATTAGTGTTTTTGATGTTATTTGAGGGCTCGACTAAGTTCGTATCATGTTCTAGGACTTGTTGCTATGTTTCGTTGAGGTACCGGGGGCCTGGGGTGGAGTTCGGATGGTTAACGGATCAAAGTTTGGAATTCAAGACTGTTAAAGTGCACTAGGTCTGGTGCGATCGCTCCTGTGTAGTTTTCATCGCAGGTGCGAGCTCACGGAAATGAGCATGGGATCGCAGGTGCGATCCTGAAGAGGGTCGCCAGTGGTCGCAGGTGCGAAGAGGAGGTCGCAGAAGAGGAGTCGCTCATGCGGAAAGGGGGTCTCAGAAGCGGAGAATGAGGGAGGCTGAGGCGGTCAGGTGCTTCCGCAGAAGCGAACGTTTGGGCGCAGAAGCGCTTCCGCAGATGCGGATTTGGGTGCGTAGGCGTGGAGTCTATATTCAATAATATTATTTTCCCATTGAATTTCCCACCTAGTTTGTGTGTTTTTTAGGTAAAATTTTGGGAGTTTGAGGCTAGGAATTTGGAGGGTTTAATCTGGGGATTTGAATGACGATTTGGTGTTGGATTATGATAAATTTGTTATGGTTGGACTCGTGGTTGAATGGGCTTCCGGATTTTGTAACTTCTATTGAATTTCGAGGCGTGGGCCCGGGGTTGACTTTTGAGTTGACTTTTGACTTTTGATTAAGAACTTAGTATTTTTATATGGAATTGATTCCTTTAGCTCATGTTGATTGTATTGAATTGTTTGTGGCTAGATTCGAGGAATTTGGAGGCCGATTCGCGAGGAAAGGGCTTATTGGAGTAGAGATTTTCACGATCTGAGGTAAGTAACACTTCTAAACTTGGTTCTGAGGGTATGAAACCCCAAATTACGTGTTATGTGGTTGGTGTTGAGGTGACGCACATGATAGGTGACGGGCGTGTGGGCGTGCACCATAGGAATTGACTTGGTCAATTCCATGGAACTGTATAGTTGAATAATCTTATCGGTATCCGTATATTCTGCATGTGTTAAAGAAATTGAGCTGCAAGTCATGTAAGAAATCATGCTTAGGCTACATGTTGTTACTGTTGGTACCCACAGAGGTCATGTTATATGTTGAATTATTTGCTTAATCTAAAATTATGTACTCAGTCTTAGCTATTATTTACATATCATATCTCAGTCTCTTTTGTCATTTATATATACGTCATATCATCATTGTTTGGGGTGATTATCATCATTCTTGTGAGCCCGAGAGACTGGAGAGATTGATGATTGAGTGACGCCGAGGGCCTGATTGTGAGGATATTTATGGGATTGGGCTACACGCCGCAGCATGTTTTATTGATTCATGCCATGATTGGCTTATTATAGCACTTGGGATGGAATTTCTCCTCCGGAGTCTGTACATCCACAGTGAGCGCAGGTATCTACTGAGTGCGAGTGCGAGTGCTGAGCGCAAGTGTCGAGTGACTGTGAGGATGGATTGATTGTGAGGAATGAGTGACCGTGAGGATGGAGTGAATGGGAGGCCTGAGTGATTGATACTCTGAGAGTATGCATATGATTTCATCACCGTTTGTACTCCAGTTGGCATACGCAACTGACATGTAGATCGAGATGCATCATTTTTTATCTCAGTTGTATTTGGCATATCCTACCTATTTGGGATTTATCTGTTAAATTGGAAGCATGTCTACCTTTCTCTATCGTATTTCTGTAATTGAACTGTACTATGTGGAGCTCGTCACTACTCTCAACCCAATAGTTAGACTTGTTACTTACTGAGTTGGACGTACTCACGCTACACCCCGCACTTTGTGTGCAGATCCAGGTATTTCCGGACATGGTGGTTGCTAATTCTCAGATTTGTTCAGTCATTCGGAGATTTTTGAGGTAGTTGCTCTAGCATCTGCAGACCTTGACTCTCCTCCCCTATCCCTCAGTTTATTTATTCAATTTCTGTTTTCTTACACAGAGTATCAGACTTGGTATTTATATAGATGCTCATGCACTCAGTGATACCCTGGTTTTGGGAAACTTTTGTATTGGGTTGTGACGGTTTTTATCAGTTTTTATGAGATCTTTACTTATTTAAACTTGTTTTAGTATATTTTAAATTGAAAGTGTCCAAAATGTCTGAGTGGTCAACTTGCCTAGTACCATGATAGGCGCCATCACGACAGGTTGAGTTTTGGGTCGTGACAGATGAAAAAGGACATTGTTGGACGTATCTTGCAGTAGTTTAATTTTTAACAGGTGAAGTATGAGTACTAGAGTCTGGGTGGTTTTCTTCGGAAGATGGCTATACCAAATTGAAAGTGAGAGTGTATCGTTATGAATTTTGTGGTAGGGTAGCCACGAGATTTGAGGAAGCTTGATGCGATTTGGGTCATTGTGGATAAATGACTAAGTCTGTACATTTAATTTGGGTTATGACGTCTTACATTTTGAGAGTTCGGATATGACGAGAAGGGGTTTTCTTGAGCTACTATAGGAATGCGAATGCTTGATTATCATCTTGGTATGCAATACAGTCTTCAGTTTATGATGTGTTAATGGATCTTTGAGTTGTTCATTGGTAGAATAAAATGGATTCTTGCAGCTTGTGGATGAGTGTACACTCGGGAGGATTCATTGATTGCATAGTTGGAGTACCCATGGCAAGGTTACAGAAAGATGTCGATATGAGGCTACATAGGTGGACTATCTCATGTGAGAAGGTTAGAGGTTGTATGATTTCTTATGAGATTCCTTTGAAGAGTTTTACCTTCTGTCCAATGGGATGCATGTATTACGATGTGGGTCTGGATCGATTGAGGAAGATGGCATGATTTTCACGAGGTTGAGTGCACATTCGGGCGGATAATTTGGGATGTGTTATGGTTAATGCAATATGAGCTTATGAGAAAATCAGTTGAGTAACAGTGTGAAATTATAGCGGCTTGAGAAGAGGAGTCATTGTGGGTCCTTGGGTTATGTGATTATGGCTTAAATCCAAGTGGGATTGGATCGCATAACATGTGTTATGTTAGTTTCAGAACTAAGGGACGTTGGTGGATTAGTTATGACTTTAAGGATGATTCGAGCAAGAAATTGCTGGATGAGCATTATATTTTGCCTTATTGATATATAGAGGTTGTTGGATGACTCGAATTTGATATTCCTTGTGATGTAGTATGCTAGGGAAATGATTCACTCGGTTGCTTCTTCTGGAGTATTTATGTGCTAATATAGCAGTAGTCGTTCGGCATGTTTGGCTATGTATTCGGGACTAGGTCACAGTGGGCAACTCTCAAAAATAGTTCTAGTGGGTTTCGAGATCTAAGATGCGGTTCCTAAGGATGTTTTATTCGTGTGTGATAAAGGATTTAGGTTTGCATCGGATTGTGAAAGAGACTTGGAGTATTTCTATATCATCATCAGTTCTGCGATGCAGTGTTAGAGAGGTGGAAGAAACATCTTCAGATTCATAGAAGGTCTTTTCAGAGCGGTGATACAAACTACGAACAAAAACACGGATATAGCAAAATAAGCGGAATAAAAAATAAGAGCTAGACATACAATTGATTGGAAGAACAAGAACCAATTAGGATATGAAGCATAATTACCTCTATGAACTTAATCAATTGTAATCCTAAACTATGAAATAAGAGTTGGACCTACAATTGATTGGAAGAACAAGAACCAATTAGGATATGAAGCATAATTACCTCTATGAACTTAATCAATTGTAATCCTAAACTATGAAATAAGAGTTGGACCTACAATTGATTGGAAGAACAAGAACCAATTAGGATATGAAGCCTAATTACCTCTATGAACACAACAATTATAACCCTAAGCTATGAAAACCCTCAAGAGATTGGCAACTCTTGAAAACTCGGATAAAGTAATTAAGCAATTAAGTTTTCACTACTAATTGCTCACCAACTAAGAATAATTTAGTACTAATGAAAGCATAAATAAATCAATAAAGGAATTAAAGGCATAAATATAAATACATTAAATAAAAGATAAGGATAAAGTGTGAGACTTGCATGTCTTCAAGTTTATCATTCATCAAGCCTATCTAAAATAAAAGCCTTAAGGGTTATTTATACTAGAGTGGCTATTTGGCTACAAATGACCCAAATACGGCTAAGCTAATTCTAAGGAGCTAAGTGTAGTCAATTATTACAAGTATAGCATTCTTGATCTTGACTCCTTTAAAGCACTCCAATGCTAAGATGTTGACTTGAAAATCGTTAGGCATGCTCATCCGGCGTGTATCATCCTCTCCCTCTTGAAAGAAATTCGTCCTCGAATTTGGACCTTGCAAAACAAAGAAAGGGGCAAACATAAGTATCAAGCCAATAACAATCAAAGCATTGTATGTCCAAGCTAAAAGATCAAAGATCACAACCTTGCACTCAAAAGTGACACTCTTATGATATAGCCAATTGTCATAATCTATAGAGAACACATCTCCAACACAAATGACACAAACTTGACTATAAGAAAAGTAATACTCATGAGAAGAATCAAGAGAGTGTAAAGTTTCATGCTTCCAACAAAATCACAATCTTGTAAAATCCTCAACAAAGTGAACACTTTTTATGGTATAACCAAGTGTCATAAGAAGCAATACAAATCATATTCTCCAATCCAAAGAAAGACACTTCACCATGATAAGAAATAACTCTGGGATCAAACACAATTTTTAATCCCCAAATATCTACACACTTTCCAATAACATTCATATGACAACTTAAGAGATATGCCAAGCTCATTATGAATCATCATATAAAGAATATCACAATACACAAAGTTAAGAGTCTTTACCTCAATGGCCTTAGATAAACACAAGATAAGCATAAGCCAAACGTACATATCATTCTTGCTTTTGGGCAAAAGAAAAAGCTCTTGACAAAAAGTATGTCAAAGTGTTAGTTCAAGCCCTTTCTTACCCTTAGCAATTTTCTCTTGTTGAACCTTCACAAAATAATCAATAAAGTTAGATTCTTTTTGCTCAAAATGGTCACTCCAAACACCAAAAGAAATATTCTTACTTTTTCTCATAGAAGCATTAGCAAAATCCAAGGAGAATGTTCTTTCAAAAGTAGGAATAAAATAAGTAAAGCAATTAATACTAGTGCTAGCATCAAAAACTTTACTTTCCTTTTCACACTCAACAAAATCATCACATAAATATGCGTAAGAGTCATCAAGATCAAATACAAAAGAAGTCAACTCATTGGAATATAAATGAAAGTTTTCTTCTTTTATATTTATGTTATTATAAGTAACTTGTTCACTCTCCAACAAGGCATCTCCATACTCACATTTGCCCATTTCACTATAAAAATTAAATCTTTTTGCCAAAGGAATGAAAATAGAATCAAAAGAATCATCAACACATTCTTCTTGAGGGAGATTGTCCCTCCTTGATGGCACTCGAGGCATATATTGGGGAGGTAGATTCATTGGTGGTCTAGGTTGGGTCATTTGGGGTGGTGGTATTATGGGTATGTGCGCTTGAGGTCTAAATGGTGGTTGGTGTTGGTAGTGGGTAGGTGGTCGGTAATTTGGTGGAGGAAAATAAGGTCCCTTTGGTGAATGTGATTGCTTTGGTAGGTTTTGTGATATTTGGATATGTTGGTTATGTTGCGGTTTTCCTCTTTGAAGCATTTGTCGCACTTGTGAAGGAGAGGGTGTAGTAGAGGAATTAGTAAGCGTCATACTACTCTCCCTTCCTTGTTGCCTCAAGTGAGATTCCCTCAATATAGAAATCAACCTTGCATTCGTTTTATGTTGCCATATGGTAATATTGGTGACCTTCTCACTTATGTGATAAATCATAGATACAACTTCATGCATCGGAGTCTTACTCCTTGGATAACAATTAGGACTAGAAATTTGCCTGTACTCCATGATATCTACAAAACGAGCAAACAAATTAGTAGTAAAGTCCTCACCAAGCTCACTCGATGTCGCTCAACCCTCGTGTATCACACTATGCACCAATTGGCTTTTACGTGCTCAAAGTCCTATTCACTCTTGCCTTTTACCGCTCACGTAGTGAAAGTCAAAATTGCTAGCAAACTTAAGTCCCAAGGTTTCACAACAAGTTCCAACCGTCTTCGGGGTGGAGTGAAAGTTGTGTATTCACAAGGACGGACAATTAAAAGCAAACGGACTTGAACCAAGCAATTCACAAAGAAAGTAAAAGATAAAAGCACGAAACAATTGGCAGGAAATAAAATTAAGCACACAAAGAAACTAGAATTAAACTCAATATGAACTAATATCAAGTTAATCTAGTTTAGAGTTAACATAGCTATCTCCTGTCCTGTTTGTGTATATACAGTATCTAGTAATCCATAATTGTAGCAAGTGGCTACTAGTTTTGCATTTGTATTTGGTAGGGCTATTAATTTATTGTATCCTGTTAGATAAAGAGTAATATAATCTTCATTTGGATTTTGGGTAGTTTGGAATCTTGGGTTTTTGTTTAAAAAGTTTTGTATTTTGTGTATGTTGTCTATATATGTACGGGTTATATGGTTGTATGTCCTTTTGGCTTGGTTCAAACTCTCTTTGTAGGTATTTATCTGTGGTGGTAGGAATATTTCGTTCTGGGTATTTTGGATATTTTTTTGTGTGAATGGTTTTGAAAATAAATTGTTCATATTTATATTTGTGTATCTGGGTTTAATTTCTTCCTTCTTCTTTGCAGATGAACTGCTAGTTGTGCTGCTTCCTGCAACTGTATTTAATAAACTGTTATGAGTTTTTAGGTGTTTCTCAACGTCACCTTCTAGGTCTGGAATTTTAGAGACTTCCGATCGTCTTATCTCCGCATTTTTTGAGTCATGTTGCTGACTACTAGCTGTTTTTCTTATTATCTGTATCTCTTCATCCATACTTTCCACTTTCTTACAAAGTGTAGTCATGGCTAAGAGTA